CCGAGGTGTACGTGGACAGAGCATGTTTACTGTCATACAAAACCCACAGAAAGGTTTCAATAGTACCTCGCTACTGACCTCCTGTTTGCTTGAAGCGATCCAAGCGGGTACGATGTTATGCGCGTCTATTTCATACAGCGGACAGCGCAGCGCCTCCGTGCACATACACCCCACCTGCTCCATCAAAGACGTTAACTCTCTGCAGCAGCACATCCACAGGAGGACAGACAGATGCCACCCTCACATGCAGCGGCAAGCAGCAGCAGTTGCGGTGTACGTATCTACGTATGTATGCATGTATGTCTGTATGCATGTGTGTATACTTTTCTCTAGGTAGTGTTTGAGTGTAGCAGAGTTGTTGCTGCCTGATGATGCTTGTCGTATTCGTGTTTAAGCTGGGGTGCCGCACCTCAGCGGCATGAAGTCACAAACCACAAGCTTGGGGCGGAGCTGCTGCAGTACTTGTTCTATGCGTTCTCTGGCTTCTGCTGCTGCCGCAGTTGCTGAACCAGAATCAGTAGAAGCAGAAGCAGCAGCACCACCAGCAGCGAGTACAGGGAAGCAGTGAAAGGCAATGTCGTGTGCCGCGAGGTCCTCGGCGAGCTCTTTAAGCCCCTGCAGATGAAACTGAAGGTGGCGGGCGGTCCGTTGGTATGTGTAGCCTGGCACCACCAAATGCACCACGTGCAACGGGGTCCTCAGAGACAGAGCAGCATCCTGAAAACAGTTAACACCGACAGACCACAGCAGCATAAATAGTAAATAACCGTAGAGGATATCACCCTAAACAGTAAATAACAAAACAGACCAACATCACGAACTATTAAAAACAGCATATTAACAGCACAGAGCAACATAGTAAATAACAAATAACAACAAAGAGCAGTATCCTAATAATTGACAATACAGGACAAAAGGGAGTCGCCGACGCGAAGAAGAGAATCCCTCGCTACTTCACCGAACTCCCCACTAACCCACGCCTTCTGTGAAGTGGATGCCTCAATTAAAAACAACTAATTGTAATTCTATTGGTTAAAAAGTGTAAAAATGCAAATTGTTAAAANGATGCCTCAATTAAAAACAACTAATTGTAATTCTATTGGTTAAAAAGTGTAAAAATGCAAATTGTTAAAAAGGGGAGTGCGGGATACATTGCAGAAATGTGTGTGCCAATATCGAAGTGTCCATAGACACTATTTTGATGAAATACCCCTCGCCCACGTGTATAGTTTAGTGCACAAACTGGGCAAATAGGAGGTTAGTTTCCACCTGGGCAAACAACAGCGCCCAGTTGTCTTGAAACCGCAGGTCGCGCTGCAGGATACAAACAACCGACTCCCCCAAGGGGTTTGGGACCGTCAGAGGGGGTGTCAAGCAGCGAACTCTCCGGCTGTCCACTGTTCCCTGCAGCCACGCTCCACTAGTTGCTGCTGAGCCCGGTGAAACCAAACAGCATGGAGGGGCCTCGGTGGGGGGGGCCCCCGGCCCCCTTCTCGCCGCTGAAGGGGCCTTCTGGAGGGGTTCTGAGGGGCCTTTTGAATGGTTTTCAGCGGTGATAGTCTTGCGATGGAGTTTTCTTCTCTTAGAACTGTCGGGCATCGGTTTTTCATCAGGGTCACTTGAAGGCATTTCCCGAGTAGTCTGTGGCCCGCGTTTGTAAACAGGGGTGGACCAAGGGTGCCTCTACAGTGATCCTTCCTGTTGAAATAAGACAAACTAATGGAATCAAATAGATTGTCTAGTGTTTTAAAGGTATTAATGCCAAGAAATGAGACAAGTGTATCCAGCACATATACGCCGAAGCAGCAAGCCGACCATAGCCGACACGATGGTCAACCCACCAGCCGCCTGTGCATTCGTTCACGCGGCAGAGCCGTGAACACGGATATTCTGGACTTCTCACACCGTTTATAATTAAATTTCCTATTACTTAGTATATACCATGGTATTGTTAGAACTATACCTTGAATATTTGAGCTTTCACGAGAGTC